AAAGCTACTATTCTCAGTTCCCAAAAAGCCAAATTATTTGTTTGGTCCACCAGCAGGCAGTTCAGTGTACTTACGTAGAAATGCAGCCGCAGCAGCTCCCACCGCCAAGTAGACAAACTTTAGAGCCACCTGAGAATGTTGAATTGGTGAAATTATATGTGATTAAGCCTTGTTCATTGCAATTTCTACTAAGTTAGAGGAACCAGAGAACCAAAATGGATCTTAAAACAGAAGTTGCCTGGTTGACTCAATTTCTGTGAAGATGTTACATTAACAGAGATAACTATCTACCAGTTTATAGTCACAGAATATTTACCTTGGAAACTGCACCAACCACGTCTTTATTATTCCCACTTTCTCCAAAGGAGTTAATTACATCTCCAAAGATTATGGTCATTAGAGGCATACAGACCCCATTTCCAATAGCGCTGATTGTACCAACAGACATTAACAGGTAATCCAAGGAATCAGCAAAGGAGAAAAGCTTGTAATATGGTACTGTTTTGGTGCCATGCTCCTTGCTCTTGCTTGTATCTTGGGGGTTGTTTTGAGAGTCCTCCACTACTGCTGAGTGGCCGTTCGATGCTGCCGTTCCCTGTTCCTTGATTACATTTCCATTCGCTTGATTTTCCTCAGCCATGTTTTTCACAGCAATAGTAGAGCTGCTATATTTTACGACAAACACCTCAGAGAAGTAAGTTGCTACTATATCTGACAGAGAACTTGATCAGAGCTGCAAGACAAAACATTTATGGTTTGGATTAGGAACCAGAATTATTTTTTTGTTTTTTGTTGTGTTTTGTGGGGTGTGGGGGGGGGGGGGGGGGGGTTGAAATTTGCCAACTGATTCTATGTGAATATGTAGTTGATTATTCAGCCAAACTTAAAAAATCCATTTGTTCCTATATTCTTCTTTTTGTGCATGTTGATTCCAGAAGATGAAAATAGAAAATAAAGGTTAAGAACACAGACAGGAAAGGGAAACAGAGGAACAAAGGAACAAGTAATAACAAAAATACTAAGAAGCCTGGCGGAGGTAGAGTTTGATGTTTTGTTGGGGGGGGGGCGCACAAGCTTAAGGTTATGAGATTTTTTGTGCAATCTATGCCTATACTCTCTGTATAGTCAAGGAGGTGAGAAAATTGTAAGGGGGCCCAGGCCATCTCAGGCCTGTGAAGCAGTGGGAATGCTGAGAACAAAACTTCACAAACACAATTAGAAACTAACTAAAACGAAACTAGCAAACGAAGGAGAAAAGACAAAGAAACCAAGTGGGCAGCTAATGCATGCTCTAAAGGTGAGAAATTTAAATAGAAGAGACATAACCACAAGCAGCTGGGATACAACTTCAAAAAGTGTTGCAGGAAACATTAATATCACCAAAAGATGAAGATACTCACTGAGGGGGAAAAAGTTTACCAACTTTCAGGAAATGGGTTGATGAAATTGTTGTACTTTCCCCCGAAAACATTGCTTTATAAGGCAGCACATCAGCCTACAGCCTACCAACTAGAAAGATAGTGTGGATACAAGATTAGTCAAACGTTCAAACTATCCAGACTTTTAAAACTAAAGTGAAAGACGTACAATTCTGGTCCTCTGTTCCTCCTCTTGGTTGCTTGCTTAGGCAGGAAGTAAAATGGGTTGCGTTGCCATTAAGTTAAAGTTGAATTTGCGAAGGATTCACTAGTGTAGTAGTTTGGAGTATTTACACCTTCAGACAAAAAAAGGTCTTGAGTTCGAGTCCTAGTATCCTTGTAGTGTGTGTGAATTGAGTATACAATTGCCTCTCTCAATAAGAAAGGTTCTCAAAAAGTTAAAGTTGAATTTGTCAGCTCATATACTATGCTTTGCAGCTTGCAATCGAATCGGTCGTCTCTCTTTTGCAATTAAAGTTAAATATACCCTACTCTTGTTTTCCCCAAACTTAGGAAGGCGACAGGGTTTTCTTACACACACTACCAATGTATCATAGGAGTTCGAACTTGAAACCACTAATATGTAAGTCAAGACAATTTTCCACTAAACTAGACCCCTTCATCACCTACCCTACCATCATATTGCTTTGAATTTAAAAAAATGTAAAAAAAAGTCCTGCAAAAACGTGAGACCAGTATTGTTTGTCCTTCTTTTGTAATTATTTAACTTGTGTGATATGTAAGCAGATCACAACGTTAGGTAAGAGGTACCAGTCCATTATGCATTGCCCTTTAGATTAATCAGGGTATACTGTCTATCTACATAACAGAATTTGGACAATTAATTAAGTTGTATTTTGTCAAAGGGATATATGATTAGAATACATGGAAATGAAAGCAAAACAAAAACTACTATGGCATGGGATAGAAGTGTTTGTATATTAGCATTGACGAAACTGCCCAAACTAAATGTGTAGATAACTCGGCTACGATATTATACTAGAATGTAAACATTAAATTCAAAATTATTAAACTATTAATCCAAGATTTATATGTGGTTTGATTCTTCCCTTTTTTCCCTTTTCTTTTGAAAAAAATAAAATAAAGAGTGATGCGCAAGTGTGTGGAATAGAAGAACAATTCGAGCACCGCAATTTGGGTGGTCCAATATGACTTTTGGAGGTTGCCTATATTTATATTCCATTGTGTGTAACTTGGAGTGTTGGGCATGCATATCAGTACATGCATGTGTGTTTAATAAAAGGGATGGCATAAATTCTTTTTAGAAAGTTAGTCAAGCAAACATGGGCGGAACTACACAAGGGCTACAGTGGATTGTAGCACAGTGAGGTTTTTGGGTTATAAAAGTATTTTATTTCAAATATAGCCCAATATCTATTAATCTATTAAAGTTTAAAAAGAATTCAATTCTTTATGAATTTAGTTGCATGGCAACAATAAAAATACACATTAAAATAGGTGCATTTTCTGTTGTTAAACATATTGTTATTTTGATAATTTTGGTTACAAATTATATGTATTTGTTTTAAGTTAAAGCTTCTTCAAAATCGCAAGAGGTTTGTAGCTCAAATAATTAAGACCATTCACCCTTGACTAAGGTTCGATTTTCCCTCCTCCAATATCACTTGTATCCAAATAATTTTTTTTTAATTATTGAAAATTAGTCAATTGAGTTATGACCTAGCATGGTTTACATGATTTAATGTATACTTTTATTTCTACAAAGACTATAGAAATTGTAAGTACATTAAATTTTTAGTTAATAAATTTACCTAGTCCACTCGTTGAAAAATTCATGATTCTGTCCTTGCAAGCCAAAAAACATTTCTCATAGAATAATAATCTTTTAAAAAATTTCACCATGAAATCTAGTAGGGTTCAGTTTTTAAAGAATTTCAATCTGCTATGTGACAAACAGTCACTGCCTAACTGGTTCAGTTTGCAAAGGTAGCACTTTTCTCCCTCATGTTTGCTGGGAATCTGTAGACTCTCAAGGGGTACGGAAAATTGCTTTTCACAATAAAAAATGCAATTGCCATTTACTTATTATGGACAGAATTCTAGATGGTCAAGGCTAAATAATCCTCCTGTCCTGTTTTTTCTTTTCTCCCAAGGAACAGATGAACTTATCCTGAAATCCCCAAAAAGGTGAGCATCGGTTGCATGATACGCATGACACAGAAATTATCGTGGCCCGGCCGTGACCCTAAACCTAACCTTATTCGTAGACGTCCATGTTGACCAAAGGATGTTTATGCAAATTTTGTTTCTTGGAAAATGCCTGGAAATAGCAAGAAAAGTAAGGGGACCCATCACCCGCGTCTAAAGATTTTAGCTCTTTGCTTTCCTTTGGGGGTGGTTTGGTACTGGACTAAAATCTTGGAATTGTCCTTGAGTGACTTGGCCTGATCTAATTTGGATAATATCTGAACTGTATATTTAATTGGGGTAGGAGTAAGTTTGTTTTAATATTTACAAACAGGGCATGTGGATTTTTTTATTTTATAAAAAATTTCTTCTCTTTGCATCTTCTTCTTCTTATTCCTTTAATTATTTTTTTGGCTTTTCTTTTCTCTCTGCATCTCATTCTTTTCTTCTTCCGCTTCTGGCTTCTTTTTCATCTTCTTCTTCTCCATCCTCTCCCCTTCTCCTCTTCTTCTGTCTAGTTTTCAAGGAGGGTTGGTTTTTGTTGAAGAAGATTCAAATTGAAGCAATTCCAAGTTGGTACGCAGGAGGAGTTGAATTTAATTATAAGATATTCAATTAAGTTTTTAATTTATTTTTAATAGAAGTTATATTAGAGAAAGGAATCGAACTTACGACCTCTAATGCCACTTAAGCAACAAACACTTACACATGTGATTAAGGTTGAGTTTAAATATATGTGATGGGCCACAAGTGAATTGAGCAAGATATGTGATGGGCCAAATAAGAAGAAGACTTTTTATCACAAATGGTCCCTGAGGTTCGTGAAATTATCACCTTTTGTCCCTAACTTTTTTTTGTGAAACTAATGGTCCTTAGAGTTAGCCTCCACATATCAAAATGGTTCTTGCCATTAGCTTCCGTCAAATTTTCTGTTAAATTCATGGCGTGACACATGTGTGGAGCCCACACATTCAATGGTATAGAGTCATGTGGCTCTAAATATAATATAATATGTTTTTAATATTTTTAAAACTTAAAATCCATAATATAAAAAAAAACATTAAAAGCACTTTGAAATGTTTTGAAAATTTTCCACTACTTTAAATACCAACAAATTGCAATTTGCAAGCAAAAAAATGAGAGCGTCTCATAAACGCTGCTTCAGAACACAGGGCCAGTGATTGATTCCCCACCGACCCACCTACACACAAAGAGAAAGACACCATGTTTTTCCCTCCAATCAATTACGCATTGTCACTCTCTCCTCATGTTGGGAGTTCTCAAGTACCCAATTGCCAAAACACTCAAAGGATTTACCAACATGTTCAGATATTGTAATCATCTA